ATGCTATAATTATTGAATTATGTGGCTACTTACTAGATAATAAAAAAGACAGAAATGATGAAAGAGTGAGTTGACGTAAAGCCATCAGTGTTAAAGCTGCTCAGAACCTTTAACTGTGTGGTCACAGGAAATGGAAGTAATACTGCTAGAGCATCATGCACTGAAGAAAAGGTCAAGGTCTAATTTAAAGGCAGATAATAGCCTTGCATGCCTCAGGTAGCACAGACCAGGGCAGTGTGATCCTGACCTGTAAATTGTGATGTTAAATAATATGTCTTTTTTCTCCTGCCTTTGTTCTACATACAACAGAAGTTAAACCAAAGGCCCAACTGACTACTAACAGCAGAGACGTTCCAGTAGCAGGCAAAGTGACTCTGAACTGCTCAGTGAACCTGTCATCTGAATGGAAATACTTCTGGTACAGAGGTAATAAATCCTCTGAACCCCTGACTACACAAGATGCTGCTCCTTCAGACGGACAAATCAGTGTCTCACAGGAAGGACTCTACAGGTGCAGAGCAGGAAGAGGAAACCCAGTTTACTACACAGACTACAGTGATCCAGTCAACATTGATAAAAACAGTGAGTTTGACTGAAAGTTAATGAGTATACAACCTTCAAAAGATTGTTGTGAGCCTTTCAATTTGACAATATTCAATATGATATTTGTATAATATTTAAAGTTTGAATAGCTCTTGTTTACCACTGGGTCATTGTTACAAATTGACTTTAGCTGCGTAGAAATACCATAGTTTTTGAAAACATCAACATTATTTAAAGGTTAAAAGGTTCAGTACTACAGAGCCATCTTTAAAGTATAAATATGCAATAATATATATTTTTTCCTCTAACGCTGATTTTTAGTGCATGTAATTTTTCTAATTGTTGACAGAAGTTACACCATCACATCGACATATTGTGGTTTAAGTAAGATGTTTTTTGGTCAGTGGAGACCTAACAGCACAAAAGCACAGCTCCATCCTGTATTGTATTAACAGTCCAGGATACTGGTGGTTGTGTAATAGTGCGAGAGATATTCTTAGTACACTTTTGTCCCCTTTGTACTAAGTGAGCATTGTCTATATACCACAGAATACTACTGCAGAAAACAATACTAAGTATTGTTTTTGACCATGTCCATCCACCTTTATGAC